ACCAACACTGAAAAGCCTTTGACTCTATCTCAATCCTTGAGAAGTTGCAGCAACTTTGAAGTAAATTTTGATGGAAAAAATCGAGGCAAAAAAGTGATTTTTGGCAATTTTGAGATGCCCCCTCGTTGCCATATGGTAACAGGAAATTTTAAGACTGAGCAATGTCGTTACAAAGGCAATGGTCCAGTCAACATTTGTGCCAAGTTTGATTAGTATTGAAGCATTTTCATAGTTTCATAGCAGTTTGAACTTGTAAGAGGAGGCTTTTCAGTGAAAATGGCCATTTTTCACAATATGCTCATGGGGGAAAGGGTTAACTAAAACAAGAGCTGTCAGAAGGACAGCGCGCTCGACTTTTTTAGTGCTTGCCTATAAAACAAAACTTTGACAGTTAAGGGCACACAAGACTTTAACTAGGAATTTCTAAGTACAAATCAAGAAACATTTTCACAGAGTTATCTCTCTCTTGCTTACAGATAGGTCTCATGATGGCACATAAGAACTCCAACTTCCAAAGTAATATCTCAAATGGTTAAGTCAACAAGTGGACAAGAATGAAAATTTTAACTGAGTTTCTAAGTCAAAAAGGGCCATAATTCAAATAAAATCCTTAACAGAATTACCTTCTCCTGCCCATGTTTTGGGACCATGATGGTAAACAAGTATTCCAACTTTCAAATTTAATATTTCAACCAGTTCAGTCAAAAAGTTGACTGGTACAAAAAACTTAACCAAGATTCTAAGTCGATAAAAGGCCTTAATTTTTTAAAACAAATCCCTGACAGAGTTACCTTCTCTTGCGTACAGATGGGGGTAATGATGTGAAATAGCATTAAAAAGTTTCAAAGCAATATCTCAAAGGTTAAGGCAATAAGTGGATTTTACCCATATTCAATGTATTTTCTAAGTCAAAAAGGGGCATAATTCTGTCAAAAACCTTGACAGAGTTATGTCCTCTTGTCTGTTGATGAAGGTCGTGATGGTAAACAGTATGGTCAGTTTCAAAGCAATACCTCCAATGGTTTTGAAATAAAGTGAGGTGGTACAAAAAACTTAACCAAGCTCAATACACTTTCTAAGTCAAAAAAGGGCCATAATTCTGTCAAAAACCTTGACAGAGTTATGTACTCCTGTCTGTAGATGGAGGTTATGATGGTGAACAAGTATGGTAAGTTTCAAAGCCATACTTGTAATACTTCTGAAATAAAGTGGGGTGGTACGAAAAACTTAACCAAGGTGTGACGCCAACGCCGACGCTAACGCTAACGCCGACGCCGACGCCGACGCCGGGGCGAGTAGGATAGCTCCCCTTTTCATAGAAAAGTCAAGCTAAAAATTATAAATGTTACAAAACAACAATTTTTCACCCAAATTAGGTAAAAGACCACATGTTAACATGGAAAAACTAGATTTTGGGTGATTCCAAGGTTTTTCATCATATTTTGTTAACCTTTTCCCTTATATTAGCATGTTTTCGAACGGCTTTTTTGCCCCCCCCCCCCCTTTTTGAGGCCTCAAAACAGTGAAAAAATGTCCTACTTAGACCCCAAACACTGTTTTTCGTTTGAGAAATGTTGTTAAAAAAAAAGTGACCATTTTTTCGGCGCCGTCCCCCATCCAAATAATACATCAGGGGTTGCCAGAAGGGGGATGTGCCCCCCTTCTGTTTGGGGGGTTTGAAAGGGGGCGGCAGTCCCCCTTATCGCCAAGAAAAATTTTGGACTTGTGAGAGGCTTAAAATGACCCCAGGTTCATCATAAGGCAACGTGTAACCAACACTGAAAAGCCTTTGACTCTATCTCAATCCCTTGAGAAGTTGCAGCACTTTGAAGTAAATTTTGATGGAAAAAATCGAGGCAAAAAAGTGATTTTTGGCAATTTTGAGATGCCCCCTCGTTGCCATGGTAACAGAAAATTTAAGACTGAGCATGTCGTTACAAAGGCAATGGTCCAGTCAACATTTGTGCCAAGTTTGATTAGTATTAAGGCATTTTTCATAGTTTCATAGCAGTTTGAACTTGTAAGAGGAGGCTTTTCAGTGAAAATGGCCATTTTTCACAGTATGCTCATTGGGGAAAGGGTTAAGACAATGATTCATTAGGCATTAGTTACAGGTAACCAACATTTCATCACAGAAAGAAAATACTGTCATGTAAATTTCCCAACAAAAAGGAAGAATTTCTACAGATGGAGCCACTTACATTGTATGTTATGGAGGCACTGTAAAGTTTTGGTGAGACCTGTTGTTTGTTCCGCTGATAAGTGTTTTAATGTACATGTTTTTCATTATCATTATATTAACAGCTCTTTATTTCTGACCTTAAAGGATGAGCTTTTAATATCATTACTGAGGTAACAGTAAACAACTGAGGTAACAGTAAACATGTTTTGTTCATGTAATATTTCACAAACTATCATGTAAGATATGTTCACAGAAGACACATTTTCTCCAACACCTGTACATTTTCCACAATACAAGATCAACAGGTGGAGGCCGTAATAAAATAACATCAACGATTCAAACTGTTGTAAACTAGCCGTTCAATGAGAAAAAACAATGCTAACAAGAGCTGTTGCGACTTTACTCAGTGCTTGATAGTAAAACAATAGCCTGATAATGTAACATTTGAAAAAGTTCAAAATGGACCTTATAAATGCTGTCAAAATCAATGTCAAAGTATTGGCCCTTCGAAAAAGACCTCATACCGTAAAATTCCTAATAAACACCCCTCCCCTAATAAAGGCCTCCCAGGCCTTTTGATAGGGAAAACAATCTACTCATCAGTGCTGAACTCATATTTAAAGCCATAATTAAATTCAAATCATTCAGAATCCATAGTATTTTATAGTTAAAAAAATATGTATAATATGAACTTTAAAACCTTTACCAACACTTGCTAACACTAAATGTATTTACAGGGATTTTTGTGTCGCCTCTACGGTGTAGTGGCGACATATAGGGATCACTTCTCCGTCGTCTGTCCGTCCGTCTGTCCGTCACAAAATTTGTCCTTGAATTTTATTCCAATATAGCAGGGGAGTATGTCACAGTTCAGAACTGATCACTTTTTAGGGGAGAAAATGTGTAAGCGACTGGATAACTCAGTGACAGTCGGTGGAGAAGCATATTGGTATTCCTTGGGTCCCTCACAGGTTCGAGTCCTGGTCAGGCTGCACATTTTTCTCACCCAGTGACACATATTTATTTGTTAATAAAGGAGATAATGATATTTTCTAGTAATTTTATGTTTGCTAACATATATATTTTGTTGTTTCTCGCCAAGAAAAGTTTGGACATGTGACACACTGGCTAAAAATGGCCTCAGGTCGATCTTAGGGTAACTAGTAACCGACGCTGAAAAGCCTTTTACTGTATCTCAAAAAACAGTGCAAAATAGTGATTTTTGGCAAATTTGAGACGTCCCCCCGTTGCCATGGTAACAGGAAATTTAAGATTGAGCATGCTGTTACAGAGGCTATGGTGTAGTCAACATTTGTGCCAAGTTTCATCAGTATTGAAGCATTTTTCATAGTTTCATAGCAGTTTGAACTTGTTACAGGAGGCTTTTCAATGAAAACGGCCATTTTTCGCAATATGCTCATGGGGTAAACAAAACAAAATGTATATAACATGTTTTTGACCAAATCACCATTCTCTCAAATGAGCCTTGCACAAACCAGAAAATTCAAGTGGTCCGACGGACCAGTGCATTTTAAAATTAGGTGGTCCTTGCCAAAATCAGGTGGTCTCGGACCAACGGACCACCGCTAATGTCAAGGCCTGATAGGTATTACAAAAACTTTAACATACGTGGTTAAGCTGAAGCAGACTCTGACCCTGGGGTGACTACAATAGCTCTACTTATTCTTATCAAATAGCAAGATAAAAATGCTGCCTGCACACTGGATTTAGAGTAGGACCGTTTAGAGTACGAGTGACTCTGATAATATTTTCTGATGCCTGGGGGCGAGTCATCACTCTTACTGTCTTAGTGGGGCGAATTGTCAGGGGGGCAAATCGTTACATTATCCTTGTTTAGACGCTTTGCCTTTATCAGTTTTACATAAGAATTTCATACGGGGAAGTCAAAGACCGGGCCCGCAAAGCGGGTCCGGGCTTTGCCTTGCCCGGCTATAGACTACACGTGAATATTTAAAAGAAAATCAAATAAAAAACATTTAAAAAATATATAGAATTCTATACCTATCAATAAAATTTTCAGTGTCAGTTCTAGTCGGGCGCCGCCATTTACAATGTATGTCAATGATAATAGGCGGGGTATTCCGATAACGGAACAAATCTCAACTTTTCGGATTAGTAATAATCGTCAAGTGTTCCGAGTGAAAACGGAAGCGGTGTATGTAATATCGAATGACACCTTTAAAACGGAAAGAATGAAAGGATTTTTTAACGACTTCCCCGTTCATAGGCTTTGCCTAATTTCATATTATCATTATAAAAAGATAAATTAAAATGTTAAATGACATCTGGCAGATTAAAAAAATTTAATTTTTTAATTTTTTAGGCTTTGCCTTTATTTCATTAGTCATTATTGATGAAACAAAACAATTATACAAATGTGTTACATAAAATCAAATGCATTATAATCATGATAAATAGAACAACCTGTCAAAAACTGAATTTGTTTGCGTAATTTTTCATTTTCTGACTGATCAGCTTCCATTTTGGACCTCTTATAGCAATAAAAAAAGAATCACAACATCGTAATAAATTTTCTTGGAAAAATTATTCTTATTCTGTTCAGTTTAGCTTTTAAATTTTTTAGAAATATTTTACAAGTTATGTTACATTCAGACACGAATTCCTTCCAAAATATATTGATATATTTATTTCTATGATGTAAGGAAAAATAATCCGTTGTCTAAATGCAATCTTTTTAAGATTTAGTCCAATATTTATACGTTTTTTTGTACGTAATAAAAGTCTCATTACCGAATTTATCTTTCAAAGTATTTACAATATAGAGTAAAATTATAGAATTTATGTTTATAATTTAGAGTTTTCGGTTTATATTGTTTTTAAATGTTTGTTTATCAATAACAAGATTGCAGACAATCTGTGTAATGTATTGTAAATAGCGCATGAATTGTGAAACCGAAAGGAAAGTTAATAACTTTTACAGTAACAAATCAAACAAAACTTTTCACATAAGCAATACGAATATGGAGCGAATTGAAGAAGCAGCTAGGCAATGGCTTGAAGAACACAAAAAGGAGTACAATTCGTGTGACTTTGAAAGAAAAGATTATGATTTTATTTTCACATTTTCAACTGACACTGACAAGTCTAGTGGTGTAACATGTTCATTTAGTGTAACGTGTCCAGACTCTGATGATGGTTTATGGGTAAGCATTGATAGATATCCATTAGGCGCATATGTAACAACTATAGTTGCATAAGTTAAACAGACATAAGTATTCCATCAGTGGTCTAGTTCAGCACAGAATTAGTCGAAATATCAACGCGATCAGAGCTACGCCCTGCGCGTTGAACACAATAAAGACCAATTTAGTGGTGGACGTTCCGACTCAAAATTGAGTCGGAAGAAAAATTCTTAAAAAACCAATAAAACAACAAAATTGGAATGAAAGAATTAGTTACCTTTGAAGATATATTCCTTAAGAAGTAATTTCTACACACTTTATTATATGACATAGGTTCATAAGACAATAATCCTATTTAAACTACACCCTGTAACACATCGATACAATTTCCCTATTCGCCATTGAATGCGTGACGTCTTAGCAGTAAAGTGCACAATGCGGAATCATGTACGCGGGTTTTTACGACGATAATTTTATAGTGATTTTTAACTGCTATATATCTTATGCCCTTAATTGACATAGTTATCAAAATTACGATAAATATTCAATATTGCAGTTGTAGTTCAGTCAGTTGGGTTATATTTATTTTACGTGAAACCCTTATTTTTTCTGCTCTTCATAGTTTGTAGGCCTATGATTTCGTGTCTTTTTTTTCTAATATTGATTTTAAGCCGACGAATGTATTTATAAATAGAAGAGATTTTCTTTTTTTCCATTTTTTACTTTTCATTAGTACGGATCAATATTTTATCTACATTTTGGCCATATTACGGGTATTTAATTATTACGTATAAATAATAAATTATTAAATTTACCTGTTTAAAACTTTAAAAATTGATTGTATAAGTATTTTAACCGAAAAAGAGTTGTTTTCACTAAAAACAACTTTGTTGTCATTGTTTAGCAGTACCGACTTTCCAAAATTACTAACATATTTGAAAAACATAAGTCATTGATTATTTAGACAGCTGTAGATTTACACTAAAGAAACAAAACGAATAAGAATATCGTAGACCAACCTTTTTATTTTTGTGACATTAACATATAAGACATTCATGTCAGCAAAGATGTATCTTTAATTTTCTCTTTTCAAAAAGTCTTTGACAATATCTGAGTTACCAATACAACTACAGAGTTTTTTACAATTAGAGCAGCACGAGCATGATAAGCATATGCAAATTTCACATGTTAAATCAGGACAAACAACTCTTGTAGTAAGAGATTCTGTCATTGCTGCCGTTCTCAACGTGTCTAACACACTTTGTCGCACACAACTTTCAGATCTGACAACACTTTTCATTTTTTCGGAAGTTATAGTCTTCATTAAAGATCTAGGGAATGGAGATACATGATTGCCAATGACGGTCTTCCATCACGCCCAGCCCGACCAACTTCCTGCCAGTACATCAGCGTATTTTTTGGTGCTCCCCAATGTATGATAATCTCGACATCATTGATGCCTACACCCATGCCAAAGGCGACAGTACATACAAGTATTCTGATCTGACTGTCACTCTTCTTAAATTCATTCAGAATCTCTTCCTTTTTTTTTCATCTGTACTTGAATGGTACATTTCTACAATCCTACATTCATAATCACTGTCGAGATTATCGGTGAGCCATGACCAAATGTCGTATACAGCTGAGTATGATCTACAAAAATATTAATTTATGCATATAAATGAAGAATGAGTGGGATGGAGGATATGATGATGATAATAATGATAATGTGATGATTGCAGAGGGGCATAGCTATAAAATTAACTGATTTTGAACTGACGTTGGTAAGATTACAAGTACAATTCAGGATAAAATTAAAAGACTTTCGGATTATTATCATTGTCATTTACAAGGTAATGGTTTGAAAATTATGTTCTTGTATTTGAAACCTGTCAAAGTTATATAGAGTTATCAAATGCCCGATGTATATGAAGATATAAAGATGGTTAATAATGCTTAGAACTTTATATTTATATTAATTATCTGTGTAGCGAACTATTGCAAAACAAAGAAGATTGTGATGATGGCATCTATGAAATATAAATGACCAGTAGCTATTATTCTTATAATTACCAATATATACACAAAAATGAAGCTTACCTGCAAAACACTATCACCTTCTTCATGCTTTCTCTGGAAACAGCTGCTTCTTTTAACCATTTCAGTTCCAACTCACAGTCTGGAGTTGACGAGGTTTGTATTGCAAGGAATATGTTGGGTTGGAAAAACCAATTCATACCCAATTAGTATCAATCAAAAATGGTATTTGTTTAAAATTCTTTTGAAAAATAAATTTTAAAAAATAACCGTTTGCTAAAAATTTTCCCGTTTTGGTTTTCTTTTAGTTGTCCCCATCGAAAATTTTTTAAAAGATATTGTCTCGTTTTTCAAAGAAATAAATGGACGAGATTTTAAAAATATGTTTCTTTTTAAATTTGGTGTGGAAACGGTTTTAAAATTTTAATCGTATTTCCCCCAAATTCTGGCGGGTTTTAGAAAACGCAAAAAACCCCGTCCCGTCATCATCAAGTACTGGCAGATATCCTTCTGAAACCTGCTCTGTACCTTTTTCCCGTTAGGGCTAAAAAGGGGAAAGCGTCCCCCAGCCCCCCCTTCTATTGCTACTTCAAATATTTTTGGCCCCTAAAGCTTTGCCCCTAAATATAAAAGATTTGTGAAAATGAGCATTTTAAAAATTACGAACATCTATAAACGGTAATGAGTAGTTATATACGTACTACAAAATTTTTGCGACTCTCATATAAATATACATAATCATTCTTACCATTCAGAGATACAGTGTGCCTCGTCACAAGCAAGCAAAGAAAGTCGTTTGTTAAACGTCTTTGCCATGAGAAGTTTTCGAACTGCGGATGTCTGTAGTGCTTCTGGTGTGCAGAATACGATCGATATACGGGTTTCTTCTCGACGTCTAATAAAAGAATTGCAAAAAAATAAATAAATAAATAATAATAATAACTAATGTATTGTCATAAGTGAGCGTCTCAATGATTTTAAAAACACGGATGCATTTAATATTTAACAAGGGTGTTCTTGCGGTTTCCGTGATTCAAATAAATTACAATGCTTATTTATTATTTTATACCGATTCTTACCTAGCATTGCCCCTACGTCTGAAGGCGACAAAATCGTCGACGAAATTCCAATATTAGAAAGATGCTGTTGTTGGTCTTGCATAAGGCTGACAAGTGGTGAAACGACCATTGCAGTGTGTTGAAATCGAAGGATCTCTCTGCAACAGATATGACTTGCGTAATAAGTTATATGATTACGTATTGAAATTATTTTTTTTACTAATATGCAATAAAATTAAAAGAAACTTGGTGTTATCACGTTTTGTAATGATGTATAAGAATATGATGATTTAAGTGTTCCAAACACTTATAATTATCATTGACAACATTGCATTTACATTACATATTGAATAATTGTACCTGATCAAAAAGAAGAGGCGGAACAACATAACACATGCTTTTTTCCATATCCAGTGGAAAAAAAAAATGATGCTTTCTTTTTTTCCATAACGGCTTGAAAAAACGCGTTTTGTTCATTTTTAAAATAAAAATTTTAAAAGTATTTTTGTTTTTTAAAGACTTAAAATGCTCTTTCAAAAATCCATTCTTTGAAATTATAACGTTTTTAAATAACAAGTGTCACACTGTGGGAAACCTTTTTAACGTTCTAAATTATTTTGCAAATGAAATGATTCGAAAACAAGAAATCTCTGGGGTTTACCGATGAAAGAAAACCCCGGCCACACCCAAAGGGAAATCATTTCCGCGGGGAAAGTTTCGCGCCGGGCCTTAATCCAGTTTTTTTGGGAAAAAATATATAAGGCTGGGCGAAGAAATTTTTATTTCATTATGCAAAGAACAAAAATTCAAATTTTTTCCAAAAATTGAACTTTTTAGAAAAGTTAAATGGGGAAAGTTTTTTTAAAAAGATAAGCTATTGTCAGTTAAGCTTGATCGAGCTCGAAAGGGGTCTTTCCCTTAAACAGGGTTTCGGGCCCTTTTAAATAGGGGCAATCCAAAAATTAACCCGTATTTCTTCAAAATTTTTTATAATTATACAATTTTTTCTTCCTTTTCCCAAATTGTAAAAGCAAAACTTTTTATTTTAAAAATTTTTTTTTTTTAAAAGATCTTTAAAAATTAAAACTAAACCTAACTTAAAAATTCTCTTTTTTTTAACCAAAAAGAACGTTATGCGGCGCGGGGTCAAAATTTAAAACATTAAATTGTTTTTATATTCCAACAAATTTGATAAAAACCTTTGTGGCCTTTTTTTAAAGTCTTTTACTGTATTTTTCCGTTAAAATTTTATAAACAAAAAAATATTTATCTAAACTCAGTTTTTTTCACTAAATGTTGTAGGCCATTTCAATAATAAAACATACATCTATGTAAATTTCTCTTTTATAAGTAATATGTAACCTATAACCTGTATGTTCAAAGTCACATTTATGAAGCATTTCTGTAAAACAACATTATCCATACTTTTGAATACTATGTTTATCTATGTCTCTGGTTTAATTGGCTATAAACTTTGTTATAAACTTTGTTCACTGATTTTTCAAGTTTTTTTCCCTAAATACTGTATGATATTGCAATAAAGTTTGTTTACTGTGTCTTCAAATTATTTTCTTTAAAAAAAAAACACTAAAATAAATTTTCTCAAAAATTTAGTAGCATGTTACCGCATAACGGTAAAGCCACTAAATTTTCGAAGTACACCTTACGGTACAGTAGTGCAACTCATCCTCGGGGAGGTAGGGAAAGGTAAACTTTCAAAACAAAAAGAGTAAATATTGAGTTTTGACGAATTGCGGTGCCTTTTCTTGATTGTTTTTTCGCTAAATAATGTTAAATGATATATTTTATGTTTATTAACGTATTATTACCAAGGAATTTGTATATTTGTGTAAAAGCGTTTTCCACCCTATAATAGACCTTTCATGTTTTTAACCTTTGGGATTTTGACCATGTCAAAAATTATCTAAAAATCCCGTAGGTTAAAATATTTTGACTAGCACAGAATCAGAGTGTTCCAACTCATTCAATGTTGTTTTTATATAGGTAGCAAGACACTTCACCCCCAGACTCTTCACCCCTCAAATTTTGAAGACACTTCACCCTATGTAACGGATAATTCATGAGAAAATGAGATGAAAACAGATGGTTACACACGTTTTGCATTACATTGTCAACAGAACACTTTTAGAATCTGTCCTCGGCAAAATCCATGTTTTAAAAGCCTAGCTAACCCCATTACAAAGCTCTCTAACCCTTACACTAACACATAACACTAACCCCTAATCTAACCTTATTAGTAATCTGAGTGATTTTGTAGAAAAAAACATAAATATTGAAGAAATAATAATGGGAATATCATAATGTTAAAAATAAATTTGGACAGATATTCTACTGTTCTAAAGTCTAGCCATTATCAACAAAAGTTTCAAATGTTAAAAAATGGCATTGAAGAAACCTGAACTGGTCCTGTACAGGAACTGGTAACATGATTGTACTGTATAGCGAGGGCTTAGTGCTAAAGGGTTATATATAACCTATAAAGTATAATACCTAGCATTTGATATCAGGTGACTAGCTTATGGTCTTCAGCATACCCGTTTTTATACTGTAACAGGATGGGTACATTGAAGACAACTGAACTCTGTAGGGAAAGTCATCCAATAATCATGCCAGGAATCTTGCACACCCCTATTCATTTATGTAGCATGCCATGAAGTTAAGTGAAGCATATGCAGCATTATGCTGATAAAATATAATGTATATAATAATTATGTATTTGTTGTTAGTAATAAACTGTGTAAATAAGAAAGATATTAGTTTTAACGGATATAATACTTGAACTGTCATTTTGTATCTAAATGATTTTATATGATTTATTTTAAACAAGTTCCCTTATCAATTTATTGGCTGTCACTTGGATGCTACATGCCAGTGTTCAATCTAGAACAAATTCCCAGGGGGCCCTTCGGGCCCATAAACTTTTCAAAAGGGGGTCATTTGAGAAAAAAGGGGGTCAACACTTAAAATGAACATCAAATTCAAATAAGGTATTGTATCTTTTAAGTTACTTGTTCACGTACCATATTTAGACCAAAAACGGTTGCAAAATTCCAAAACAACTCAACTGAAAAAAATGACATTAGCGTTGATACAGGCTCAATTTTAAGAACTGATTGGTAAAGAAACGCGATGACATAATGTTCAAAGAAAAATATGAATCTTATTTTAATGTTACCAGGGATATTTGATAATGATGTTCAGTTTTTTAATCAGCGCCCGATATATAAAGGAAAATCATATTTTGAAATTAGCTTTGTTTATGAAGAATATAAACTTACAATAGTCGCTAAAAACATTTACCCTTCTCAATATATCCAAACGAAAAACAAAGTGTCAACAGGTGCTAAGACAATGTGTATTGACATACCGGTACCTTTGATCTTTTGTCAGGGCAGCAGTTCTTACGTCTGTATTGATTAATGATATGCAAAATGTTTTAGCGCCGACCAGCCAAAGACCAATCAAAGTTAATTTACTTAATTGTCAGACACTCCCTAGCCAATCGTGTTTGATTGCTCCATCTTTAAGACTTTTTTAATTGGATGAAGGTGTGTTCGTAATAATTTATGCACACTTCTCTATAATTAACTCGCACTTTTCACATATATATATTATTTTTTTTCCAAAGTTATTACATATTTATTTGTTTTGACCGTGAAAAAACTATAACTACACGCACGTATTGGATTATCTGTGACGATTTGTTTTGCTCATAAAAACTGTGACTCAAAAGTAAGTAATAGTTACGGTACGAAGAACAAGTCTACATGGTATTTACAGACGCGGACCTAGAGAGCGTAGCGATAAAGGTTTTAAATGGGTTACCGAGTGCGGTAAACTATCTTACCAACATGCTCTTGTTTTTCAATACAAACTTCAGTTTTGAATTCAGTATTTATTAATATTATTCACAAGAAACTTCTTTTATGTACTTAATCAGGTTTAAGAAAGCATTCTAATGTCATTTAGGGCATTTTCTATGAGTGCGCCCAGTCGGGCCCACAGTTGATTTTGTTTTGCGCCGACGGCCTTTTCAGGGGGTCAATGGCGCAATGGCGCGCTCTAGATTGAACACTGCATGCTGCATTATAAACACCACTTATCTAGTCCATAGTTGCTTATCCCATTATATTGCATTTATGTGTGAGATTATGATTTTGACATAGAATAAAAGGAAAAATGAGAAACTAAAGATACATAGAATGATAAAGCTATTAATGTATATATATGTAATTATGAACTTCATTATACAGTTAAATGTGGATCAGCTTTTATTGAATTTGGTACCTGGCAATAAATAAACAAATTTACAGTTGGTCCTTCAGACCCTCAGACTTACAAATGGAAAGAGCTTTAACCCGTATGACTATGTGTCATTTCTTTCCATGGAATTATGAGAATTCAGTGTAACAGTATTTGATAATTTTAAGGCACTTGTTTAATTCACGGTATGATAACAAGCACAAAAAGTATTGTACATGTACTTAAAAGCAGATTCCACTTACCTTTCTAATTGAGTTTAAGAGGAATAGGGTTCAAAATATGCAAATTTTTTCACTTAGTAAGGTGGATTATTTAAAAAATGTATGTGGGAAAACACTAAATACTAAGTAGGAAAATTTACACATTAAGGTGTTGATTCTTAACATGGGCAGACAACAGCATTAGCAGGAAAAGTTCCCTTAAATGATTCTGTTTTTATTTCTAATTGCATGAAGGAAAATTTTGAATTTTAAAGTCCTGTTATTTTCAGTCAGTATGGAGTGAAGATTCAAGTCTACAGCCACATTTAGGTGTAATACTAGAATTTTGTGACTCAAAGAGACAGAAAACAATCCAGGAAATACTAGATAAGATCAATTCAGTGTTACCTTTGGTATAACCTTCTTTTTTATATATATTTTTTTTTTATCAAATTTGTTTTGCATAAGTATTTTATGATTTATATATATCACAAGTATTTACTTTACAATGTATGTTTTAATATAAGTTTCAAGTGAAAACCTGTTTGGGTCTCATTAGTAGTGAAATAATTAATGTTTAAAAGTTATCTTTTCTGATACAACTTTGTTTACATTTTGCTTCTTTTGTGATAATCATAAGCATCTAAAATTCTCTAATACCATTATATAAACTTGATAAAACTCTTATTGCCCTTTCTAAAGAATGAAAAAAATATTCATTTCTGAGTCATTATAAAATGTGCCTTTAAGTATTTTGAGGTTGTGTCTTTTGGTCATAGGTATTAAATAAAAGTAAGCCAGTAACAGAAGATAAAGAAGAAATGGAAGAAGATGATGATTATGACGTTGATGATGATGACGATGATGCCAATTTTTATGATTACAATGATGATGTAGAAGAGGAATCTGCAGTAAGAAATAAAACACCTGAAGAGTGAGTTTAAATGTCTCAGTTTACTCTATATACTGTGAATTCATTTTATTTCCTAGGCATGAAATTTTTTGGTTTTGTCACAAAGAATATTTTCAGAAGTTCTTAAATTCATGGACTGTTAATTTTTCTCCAAAAGGTTAAATGTAAATACCGCAATGCAAGATAATCTTAAAGCAGACGAAATGAAATTTTGTTTGATATTAAATACGTGGATTGACCTATCGACAAAAACCACGAAAATTAGTTCCCCACAAATAATAAAGATTTTGCAGTATTTTAACATGGCTTAAACACTTGTATCAAATGGAGAACATTGATTATAAAAGGAGAGGATATAGTCATATAACCAGATATTAGGTATGATTTATTCTTCTATACTGTTTAGTCATGATATTCATTGTTTTCTTGTTATTTTAAAACTTGAGGAGTATGATCCAAATGAGCCGCGTCATGACAAAACCAACATAATGGGTTTGCGACCAGCATGGATCCAGACAAGCCTGCGCATCCGCGCAGTCTGATCAGGATCCATGCTATTCGCTATCAGTTTCACTACTTGTAATAGGGTTTGTAAGCGAACAGCATGGATCCTGATCAGACTGCGCGGATGCGTAGGCAGGTCTGAATCCATGCTGGTCGCAAACCCATTATGTTGGTTTTGTCATGACACGGCTCAAATGGTCTCTGTCTATTGGAACTTTGTCGGATTCCCTGACTCTGCTACTCTAGAATTTGGATAGCATCCAGACATAAATAGCAGAATTAAAATTAACAGTTGTGAGTAATAAGTGGCCTGAACATGAGTAACATTAACCATTTACCTATAGAGATTTATCACGCCCATTTAACTCACGAGTGTAAAATGTCCATCTGTAAAAATGTTGTGAGCAACTTCCGTTCCTCGTTGTGAGCACCCATCTAGGACGTGTGACACGATAAACAAGGTGGATTTTTCATAATTTTTGAAGATTACATACATTTATGTAAAATAATAAAGTCACAGCAATAACACGTATAATATCATTTTTTATTTTTCCAACGTTTCGGCAAATGTATGCCTTTTTCAAGGTAAATAAATAATAATAATATCAACGGACGTGACGTCGTAATTTTACAATTAACGTCACGCCCACTTTTGCGGAAAAACGAACAAATACGAACAATTCCAATTCATGATAAAAGAGATAAGTGCACCAAACAAAGCATCAAAATATAAAAACGACACAATAGATATCGGATTAATAAATACAAATATTTCCTATAGGGTTTAATTATAAAAAATGATAATAGGAAAAAACAAATATCTATGTGGCGTAATTCTAGCATTTGTAGCGTGGATTGATATTTTATGAATTATTTAATTGAGTATAACAACTTTGTGTTCATTCCTTCTGGAAAATGAGTTTTTAGCTTATGAATCCAAAATGTTTCTTTGCACAAACGATCTAAAGTATTGTAAACAACATCTATGGGCATAAATGAAAAGTCGGTAAAATTATGATCGTCCTTATTAAAATGATTTGCAACATTAGTGGAGAATGCAGGATCTACAAAATTGCATATATCAAATTTATGGCTATTCATTCGTTTAGACACAGGTTGTTTGGTTTGACCAACATACTGCATGCTACATTTTTACATGTTATCAAATATATACAATTCTTGGTTTGACAGTTAGTATGTTGACGTAAGTCAAATATCTCTCCTGTATTTGAACTGTAAAATGACGTACCACTATTAATACGAACACAATGAGAACAGCGTTTTCTACAACAACCTCCAGAATGTGATGTAAAGTCACTGTCAGTATCAAATCTAGATCTAACTAAAAAGTCTTGTAAGTTTCTTGGACGTTTATAGGCAATTATGGGTGTTAGTTATTGTGAATATTTTTAACACCTTCGTTTTTTGACAGATTTAGTAGGTCCCAATATTTATGAATAGTATTTCCAATATTAGGTAAGGACGGATTATATGTCACAATAAATGGAAGAACGTTTTTCTTTTCTTTATCTTGTGGCCGTAAGGCATCCTCTTGTGACATCTGTGACACGTGAAGAAACGCTGAATCTATAACCGTCTCAGGGAAATTTCTACTTATGAAGAATTCTCGTAGTTTGCTCAGTGAAGTAGAGAACACGTCGTCGTCGGATATAATTCTCCTGTAACGCTTAGCCTGACTGTGGGGTATTCCGTCTTTACACCGTTTTGGATGACAGGATGTATAATCAAGATATTGGTGGTTGTTAGTTTCCTTTACATAAACATTAGTTTGAAGTTCGTACGATTTTCCTTTTGATACTTGAACATCAAGAAACGAAACAGATTGTTGAGATATGTGTGGGTGAATTTAATGCTTGGGTGAACATTGTTGATTTTGTCAATAAATGTGTTAAGTTCTTCAAGAGAATGATCCCAAAGCATAAAAATATCGTCTAAGAAAACGAAGCCACAATGACGGTTTAAGCTGACTATCTTTCAAAAAATCTTCTTCGAATTTCCCCATAAAAAGTGCTGCGTACGCGGGGGCGACTGGGCTTCCCATAGCGGTACCCATTTTCTGAAGAAAATAGTCATCCCCGAACTTGAAGTAGTTATTTTCAAGAATAAGTTTCAAAAGTTTAACAATTTCATCTGACGAAAGTCTGCTGTTATTATTTCCTTGTCTTAAATAATACAAACACGCATCAGTTCCATCCGTATGTGGTATATTAGTATAAAGTGAAGAGACATCTAGTGTTACCAAATATGTGTTTTTGCTTTGTAGTTTAATATTACGTAATTTGTTGATGAAATCTGTGGTGTCTTTTACATATGATGGCAATCTAAGCATATGTGGTTTAAGTATAAAGTCGAGATACTTTGAAATATTTTCTGTTGGTGAGTTACATCCTGACACAATAGGTCTACCCGGATACTTTAATGGCAGTGTGAAGTCTGGAGATTTGTGTGTTTTAGGTAAGATATAAAAACACGTGTACGTATGTTCGTTGGAAATACATCAAATTCATCTGAAATACAGTCGTTTGTTTCTTTAATCTTATCAATGCATTCCGATATGTTACATTTAATAATTTCTGTAGGATCTTCCGTACATTTTTCATAGTAGCTGTTGTTTTCGAGTTGACGTAAAACTTCCCGTCGGTAATCGTCAGTATTCATAATAACGATAGTGTTCGATTTGTCCGCTTTCTTTATAATTATACTTTTATCTTGTGACAGTTTAGGTAGCGACTCCATTTCAGACTTGGTTATATTACTATAACGTTTGTGTTTATTAATGATACTGGATTGCAATATTTCTTCCGTAATAGCATAATTTTTTTTTTTTTTTTTTTTTTTTTTTTTTATACATTTATGTAAAAAATATCGGAATGCAGTTAGCTAGCGATGTGTTTTCCGAGTATGCACATGTAAAGATATTGCCTGTTGGTGGACAATTTGATGGAAATACCGTGCGACGCAGTCACTCGGGGTAGCTGGAAAACTGGAGACAACTTCTCTCCGGACCAAATTTAACATTAAAAACGTCAATTCTGGTGAAGTTTTGTGCATTCTAACCTAAAACAGATGCCCACAAGTCTTCGGCTTAAATTATTACCTGAAAGTCTTCATAGAAACGAAGATATACCCTTTTTAGCTCACCTGTCACAAAGTGACAGGGTGAGCTTTTGTGATCGCTTTTCGTCCGGCGTCCGTCTGTCCGGCGTCCGTAAACTTTTACTTTAAATGACATCTCCTCATAAACCACTAGGCCAATTTCATCCAAACTTCACAGGAATGTTCCTTTGGTGGTCACCTTTAAAAATTGTTCAAAGAATTTAATTCCATGCAGAACTCTGGTTGCCATGGCAACCGAAAGAAAAAACTTTAAATATCTTCTTTTAAAAAACCCTAAGAGCTAGAGCTTAGATATTTGGCATGAAACATCTTCTAGTGAGTGTCTACCAAGTTTGTTCAAATAAAAGCCCTGGGGTCAAAATTGGCCCCGCCCCAGAGGGTCATTGATTTTCCCTATATGCATATAGTAAAAACTTAAAAAATCTTCTTTTAAAGAACTCAAAGAGCTAGAGCTAAGATATTTAGCATCAAACATGTTCTAATAGGTGTCTACCAAGTTTGTTCAAATAAAAGCCCTGGGGTCAAAATTGGCTCCGCCCCGGGGGTCATTGATTTTCCTTATTATGTGTATAGCAAAAACTTAAAAAATCTTCTTTGAAAAAACCAAAATAGCTAGAGTTTAGATATTAAGCATGAAACATCTTCAAGTAAGTGTCTACAAAGTTTGTTCAAATAAAAGCCCTGGGGTCAAAACTGGCCCCGCCCCAGGGGTGTCATTGTTTTTAACTATATGTGTATAGTAAAAACTTAAACAAATCTTCTTTTAAAAAGCCCAATGAGCTAGAGCTTAGATATTTAGCATGAAACATCTTCTTATAGGTGTCTACCAAGTTTGTTCAAATAAAAGCCCTGGGGTCAAAATTGGCCCCGTCCCAGGGGGTCATTGATTTTCCCTATATGCATATAGTAAAAACTTAAAAAATCTTCTTTTAAAGAACTCAAAGAGCTAGAGCTAAGATATTTAGCATCAAACATGTTCTAATAGGTGTCTACCAAGTTTGTTCAAATAAAAGCCCTGGGGTCAAAATTGGCCCCGCCCCGGGGGTCATTGATTTTCCTTATATGTGTATAGCAAAAACTTAAAAAATCTTCTTTGAAAAAAACCCAAATAGCTAGAGTTTAGATATTAAGCATGAAACATCTTCTAGTGAGTGTCTACAAAGTTTGTTCAAATAAAAGCCCTGGGGTCAAAATTGGCCCCGCCCCGGGGGTCATTGATTTTCCTTATATGTGTATAGCAAAAACTTAAAATCTTCTTTGAAAAAACCCAAATAGCTAGAGTTTAGATATTAAGCATGAAACATCTTCTAGTAAGTGTCTACAAAGTTTGTTCAAATAAAAGCCCTGGGGTCAAAACTGGCCCCGCCCCAGGGGTGTCATTGTTTTTAACTATATGTGTATAGTAAAAACTTTAAAAAAATCTTCTTTTAAAAAGCCCAATGAGCTAGAGCTTAGATGTTTAGCATGAAACATCTTCTTATGGGTGTGTGTGGGGGGGGGCTATATACAGGTGAGCGACCTCAGGGCCATCATGGCCCTCTTGTTTGCTTTAATCCTCGTTGTGAGCACCATAACCTCGTTGTGAGCAAGACAAGCGCAGTGCGTATCTGGTTTTAATATGTAATTCAGATGGTGAATATATAATTTTCAATCTACCAAAGCAATTAAAACGTTTTTTGCACAGCAGCATTTCTTTGCAAGACGTTGTGCATACCCCGAAGGGAGGCATATTAGTTTTGAACTGTCCGTCCGTCAGGGTTTTCATTTTTATCTGAGGCAACAGATGTGCCTAAGAAAACAACCAGTTTTGCCAATTGTCAAGGATGATATTTTAATATACAGGTTGAAAATACAACCAATTTTGACAGAATTTTAACCTATGATATGGATCATCTATCCGTTAATAATGAAAACCCTGTTTATTTAAAAAGGCATGAAAAATAAAACCACTAAAAGTGATGACTAATGACTGTGTTTAGTACTTATATACAAATACAGAAAGAATAATTAATTTTTCTATTACAGAGTAAGTTCAGAAGAAGATGATGAGAGATTTTTTGGAGGGAAGACAAATCCAACTGCATTCCAGAGACTTGTTAAAGGTACTCTTCTATAGCATTGTCATACTGGTAAACTTGTAGAAGATATTATGTGAGTTTTAAGGGTATATTATACTTATACATCTATACTAGCATGATGCCAGTCTTTGGCTTGAACAATTTTTTTGACTTATTTCCTGAAACTGCTGTTAAGAAAAAGTTGGAAAGGCCTGTAAAATTACAGTACCATATACCGCAGGGCTCTCGATTGACACGGGGATCCGGGTTTTGACTCGTGAAAATCGGGAAATGCACAAATTTGACACGTGATAAAATCTGCTCAAGAGTCAATTTGCCACATGGGATTTTCAGCTATGCAATAATAATTACCTTAAATCCACCCTAATTATCTATCAAATCCTACATATGTTCAAATCACACTTATTAAAAATGTCAACAGGCAGTATATAAGCTGTGTATAAAATGCTTTACACACGGCAATTGTTTATAGCCTGTGCACTGAAGCAAGACAATTCAGTGGCTGCAATTTGACAGCGCTAAAAATAGCTCTACACAACTGATAAGAACTACATACTTGAGGTGTCAATTATTGATTGCTTTTAAAGGTTTATAATACGTCTTTGATTTACTTGGAGTACCTGTGCATTTGTTATTTCTTTTTCCATTAAATATTCCTAGTACATTTTGGTATTTAAAATTAATATGATATAGCATACCAGTAAAGATATTTTTTTTTATATATTTTAACAGAAAAGCTGCTGCTTATTTTATTCTTTTACAGCAATTCATGTTTTGTTTTATTTGTTTTTTTTATTTGTTTTTTTTTAAGGTGGAGGGGATATAGACATTTATAATTAAGCATTTTTTTCTGTCAATTTAGACTTTGGAATCTCCAAAAATGACCTCCAATACAGTCATTTTTGTAACATAAAAATGATTCATGTAGTCAAATGACACTAGAAAAAAATGATTTGACTCATGAAAATTTTGGCCAAAGAGTCTTTGACTCGTGAAATTCTGACCCTACTGAGAGCCCTGATATACCTTCCAAATTGTTCTAAATAACTTGTCATGCCTATTCAAGTCATATTTATGTCATGTAAGAAAAGTTGATTTTAACTTAAGAAGGTTTACATGAACTGTAAGAGCAGAATGTATGCTTGTATTTTTCCTGTTATGTGATAATTAAAAATCCAGTTAGCTTATTTGGCATGTTTGTACCTACCAAATTGAGAGATCTACAGCAATATGAAAATTCAAGCAAGAAATAGAAACATTTTAACAACATCTTTTTTATGAAAAATTTATGAACCAATATTCGTCTTACATGTTTATAGTTTTATAGCCCGGCAAAAAAAAGTTTGAAGTTAGCTTGACTCCTGACCTGTCTGTCTTGTGAATGCTACTCTTCCTACATTACAGTTTTTATTTATTTTATTTTTTAAAATCAACTTATTGACCAGGCATCATATATAAACATGTGACTAATATTTAAAAAATAAAAATCTTACTTTTCAGACTTGAAAAATATGAAAAAAGAGGCACACAAATTTGGTATAGAAGGAACACCAAGGGGAGACAATCTATTTATATGGGTAAATCTTTGATTGCTGGAACGGTTAAGAGCTATGTTTGTATATGCAGTCTGATCTGCTATATTCTGGTTTACTGCTCAGTTTTTGATATTTTAATATTGAAAATAATCAAAGTAAAATGGTACATTCAAAGCTTGAAATAAAAGGATAGTTCTATAAAACTATATGATTCATGGGACAGTTGCTTGTAGTGATGGATTTTATTGTAATGGGAAACCATTTTATATATTTGCACCTTTTTAGCTCACCTTGCACAAAGTGCAGGTGAGCTTTTAGGATGGCCAACCAAATGGCGTCCGTCGTCTGTCGTCCGTCCACATTTTAAATAGTCTAAGGACATCTTCTATGATACCGCAAGGCCAATGTTAATGAAACTTGGCAGGAATACTCTTTGTATGAAGCTCTATCAAGATTGTTCAAAGAATTCCATTTCATGCAGAACTCTGGTTGCCATGGCAACCGGAAGAAAAATCTTTAAATATCTTCTTTTAAAGAACCGTAAGAGCTAGAGCTTAGATATTTGGCATGAAACATCTTCTAATAAGTGTCTACCAAGTTTGTTCAAATAAAAGCCCTAGGGTCAAAATTGGCCCCGCCCCAGGGGGTCATTGATTTTCCCTATATGCATATAGTTAAAACTTAAAAAATCTTCTTTTAAAGAACCCAAAGAGCTAGAGTTAAGATATTTGACATGAAATATCTTCTAGTGAGTGTCTACCAAGTTTGTTCAAATAAAAGCCCTGGGGTCAAAATTGGCCCCGCCCTGGGGGGTCATTGATTTTCCCTATATGCATATAGTAAAAACTTAAAAAATCTTCTTTTAAAGAACCGTAAGAGCTAGAGCTTAGATATTTGGCATGAAACATCTTCTAGTGAATGTCTACCAAGTTTGTTCAAATAAAAGCCCTGGGGTCAAAATTGGCCCCGTCCCAGGGGGTCATAGATTTTCCCTAAATACATATAGTAAAAACTTAAAAAATCTTCTTTTCAAGAACCCAAAGAGCTAGAGCTAAGATATTTAGCATGAAACATCTTCTAATGAGTGTCTACTAAGTTTGTTCAAATAAAAGCCCTGGGGTCAAAATTGGCCCCGCCCCAGGGGGTCATTGATTTTCCCTTTATGCATATAGTAAAAACTTAAAAAATCTTCTTTTAAAGAACTCAAAGAGCTAGAGCTAAGATATTTAGCATGAAACATGTTCTAATGGGTGTCTACCAAGTATGTTCAAATAAAAGCCCTGGGGTCAAAACTGGCCCGGCCCCGGGGGTCATTGATTTTCCTTATATGTGTATAGCAAAAACTTAAAAATCTTCTTTGAAAAAACCCAAATAGCTTGAGTTTAGATATTATACATGAAACATCTTTAAGTAAATATCTACAAAGTTTGTTCAAATAAAAGCCCGGGGGTCAAAACTGGCCCTGCCCCAGGGGTGTCATTGTTTTTAACTATATGTGTATAGTAAAAACTTAAAAAATCTTCTTTTAAAAAACCCAATGAGCTAGAACTTAGATGTTTAGCATGAAACATCTTCTTATGGGTGTCTACCAAGTCTGTTCAAATAAAAGCCCTTGGGTAAAAATTGGCCCGGGGGGGGGGGGCTATATACAGGTGAGCGACCTCAGGGCCATCATGGCCCTCTTGTTTCAATTATTCAATGTGTTAGATATAGACAGCACAAACATTGTCAGTTTTTAATGCCTACACTTTTTTAAGTGTGATTGGGTCAGTCCATATATTTGTCTGTATGTATGCCACATTCTTGTCAGGTCAATAGATTGCCAGGGAATAAGCCATGGTTTATGAAACTTGGCCCATGGCTAGTTGATACTCTATATTGACTTTGAGGTTAATAGGTCATGGTCACAGTGACCAGAATGAAAAATAAAACTTTGCTAGAGCACAACTGTTTTATTAAAAACAAATTATTTAAGGACGTTTTCGGAAGTTTTCATATAGACATATAGGCAAAATTAAAACTGTTCTATAGAATTTCTTTGTTTTAATTTTGCATATATGTCAATATGAAAACTCCGGAAAATGTTGTTAATGGCTGAATGTACATACTTACATTTTACTTGAAGGATGTGAAGTTAACTGGTTTTTCTGCAGACACTACATTAGGGAAAGATATAAAAAAGTGGGCAGAAAATCATAAAAGAGAGGTGAGTGTTAAAACTTTGTAACACATGATTTTTTAGCTCCCCGTGAAGGTAAGCTTTGTTACTTTATTTACTGTTTTTTCTTTAAACAACAACTCCAAAAATGCTGCATAGATTTTGAAAAAAAGTTTGGTAATATTTTTGATAATGGTAATATTTTAATAATGTTCATTCTGGGTGTAAGAGTTAAATTGGGCCTCCTGTTTGTACTATTTATCATTCAAAGCTTGAACTTATTGAAGTATTTGTCATTACAGTGAAATGTTCATGGCAGCTGCTTAGTTTTTCTGTAATTGCTCCTATTATATACATATTTATCAGTTTATTTCTTATGTAGTTATGTAAATGTGTGTTTTTAAGTATTTTATTAAATGAAAGAAAGGACAGAATACCTTTAGTTATAAATAAGGTTGCAATAAAATATAAGATTACAAGCAAACCAACACAGCAGCTTTAATCTGTTTTATAATGTATTGTTTCCTTTTACATTGTAAATATTTTAAATTTTACCAGAGTTTTGTCAAATTTTTATGTCAATTTTATTGTTTCTGTGGTTACAGCCAGTGGTTTATTTAGAGATGCAGTTTCCTGGTGACTATCCGATGGCCCCACCATTTGTAAGGGTCACACGGCCAAGATTCAAATTTCTCACAGGTGAGAGTTGAGGTATTTTTAGCTCAGCTGAGGACACTGTCCTCATGGTGAGCTTTTGTGATGGCCCATTGGTCATCGTCCATGCGTGTGTCAACAATTCCTTTAAAAAACTTCTCCTCCTAAATCACTCGGCCATATTTGTTGAAACTTTGCAGAGATGTTCCTTGCATGAAGCTCTACAAAAGTTATTATACCCCCACAAACGAAGTTTAGGGGGGGTATATAGGAGTCAGCTTGTCGGTCGGTCGGTCCGTCGGTCGGTCGGTCGGTCCGTCGGTCGGTCCACATCATGGTTTCCAGACGATAACTAGAGTTTGGAGTGAGGTATTGTAATCAAACTTGGTATATAGCAACCTTATGTGGAAACCCCGGTTGGTATTGCATCTGGACCCTCTGGGGCCAAGGTCAAGGTCACTGTTACTAAAAATAGAAAAATGGTTTCCGGACAATAACTAAAGTTAGGAATGAGATATTGTAATCAAACTTGGTATATAGCAAGCTTATATGAAAACCCCGGTTGGTATTGCATCTGGACCCCCTGGGGCCAAGGTCAAGGTCACCGTTACTAAAAATAGAAAAATGGTTTCCGGACAATAACTAAAGTTAGGAATGAGATATTGTAATCAAACTTGATGTACAGCAAGCTTATATGAAGACCCCGGTTGGTATTGCATCTTGACCCCCTGGGGCCAAGGTCAAGGTCACCGTTACTAAAAATAGAAAAATGGTTTCCGGACAATAACTAAAGTTAGGAATGAGATATTGTAATCAAACTTGGTATATAGCAAGCTTATATGAAAACCCCGATTGGTATTGCATCTGGACCCCCTGGGGCCAAGGTCAAGGTCACCGTTACTAAAAATAGAAAAATGGTTTCCGGACAATAACTAAAGTTAGGAATGAGATATTGTAATCAAACTTGATGTACAGCAAGCTTATATGAAGACCCCGGTTGGTATTGCATCTTGACCCCCTGGGGCCAAGGTCAAGGTCACCGTTACTAAAAATAGAAAAATGGTTTCCGGACAATAACTAAAGTTAGGAATGAGATATTGTAATCAAACTTGGTATATAGCAAGCTTATATGAAGACCCCTTTTGGTATTGCATCTGGACCCCCTGGGGCCAAGGTCAAGGTCACCGTTACTAAAAATAGAAAAATGGTTTCCGGACAATAACTAAAGTTAGGAATGAGATATTGTAATCAAACTTGGTATATAGCAAGCTTATATGAAGACCACGGTTGGTATTGCATCTGGAACCCCTGGGGTCAAGGTCACCGTTACTAAAAATAGAAGAATGGTTTCCGCACAATATCTAAAGTTAGGAATGATATATTGTAATCAAACTTGGTGTTTAGCAAGCTTACATGAAGACCGCACTTGGTATTGCATTTGGACTCCCTGGGTTCAAGGTCACAGTTACTAAAAGTAGAAAAATGGTTTCCAGACAATTACTAGGGTTAGGAATGAGATATTGTTATCAAACTTGGTGTATAGCAAGCTTATATCAAGATCAAGATAGTTGGGATTGCAATAAATTGAAATAATTCTTTGTACACAGTGCTGATGGTACTTTATTATACCCCCACAAACGAAGTTTAGGGGGGGTATATAGGAGTCAGCTTGTCGGTTGGTCGGTCCGTCCGTCGGTCGGTCCACATCATGGTTTCCGGACGATAACTAGAGTTTGGAATGAGGTATTGTAATCAAACTTGGTATATAGCAACCTTATGTGGAAACTCTGGTTGGTATTGCATATGGACCCCCTGGGGTCAAGGTCAAGGTCACTGTTACTAAAAATAGAAAAATGGTTTCCGGACAATAACTAGAGTTCGGAATGAGATATTGTTATCAAACTTGGCGTATAGCAAGCTTATATGAAGACCTGGGTTGGTATTGCATTTGGGCCCCCTGGGGTCAAGGTCAAGGTCACCGTTACTAAAAATAGAAAAAATGGTTTTTGGACAATAACTTGACTTAGGAATGAGATACTGTAATCAAACTTGGTGTATAGCAAGCTTATATGAAGACCTGGGTTGGTATTGCATTTGGACCCCCTAGGGTCAAGGTCAAGGTCACCGTTAAGAAAAATAGAAAAATGGTTTCCGGACAATAACTAGAGTTAGGAATGAGATATTGTTATCAAACTTGGTGTATAGCAGGCTTATATGAAGACCTTGGTTGGTATTGCATTTGGGCCCCCTTGGGTCAAGGTCAAGGTCACCGTTTAGAAAAATAGAAAAATGGTTTTCGGACAATAATTAGAGTTAGGAATGAGATATTGTTATCAAACTTGGTGTATAGGAAGCTTATATGAAGACCTGAGTTGGTATTGCATTTTGACCCCCTAGGGTCAAGGTCACCGTTACAGTGTTACTAAAAATAGAAAAATGGTTTCCGGACAATAACTAGAGTTAGGAATGAGATATTGTAATCAAACTTGGTGTATAGCAAGCTTATTTCGAGACCCCAGTTGCGATTACAATTAATTGAAATATTTTTTTGTACACAGTTGATAGTTTGTGTTCAAATTTTTCTTCAGACTACTTTTTTTTCAAAAAGTTGCTGGTGGGGGTATTAATCACCTTCAGTGATAGGTCTAGTTCAAAGAATTGAATTCCATAAAGAACTCTGGTTGCCATGGCAACCGAAATATTTTTTTACAAAAATCTTAAAAAAATCTTCTTGTAAAATTTCGAAAGAGTTAGAGCTTAGATATACTAGCATGAAACATCTTCTAGTGGATGTCTACCAAGTTTGTTCAAATAAAAGCCCTAGGGTCAAAATTGGCCCTTCCCCAGGGGCCATTGATTTTCCTTATATGTATATAGTAAAAACTTTAAAAAATCAAAAAGAGGTAGAACGTAGAAACTATAAAAAAAATCTTCTGACAATCCAAAATAGCTAGAGCTTAGATAATTGGCATGAAACATCTTCTAGTAGATGTCTTCGAAGTTTGTTCAAATGAAAGCCCAAGGGTCAAATTTGGCACCGCCCCAGGGGGTCATTGATTTTCCTTATATATACATGTATAGAGTAGAAATCTTCTAGTTAAAATACAAAAGAGTAAGAGCTAAGATTTTTGACATGAAACATGTTCTAGTGTATATCTACCATGTTTGTTGAAATAAAACCCCTAACGTCAAAATTGGCCCGGGGGGTGGGGGGGTCATTGAATTTTTCTTATATGTACAGTAAATCCGGTGTTTTTTGCAATGTTTTAATTTTCACTATTTCTTATTGGTGAAAAGGGCTCCACTTTGACCGTTTAACCTATTTCTCAGGTGTTGCCATCCAGGGCCCTCTTGTTATTGGTTAAGCATGACTTAATAAATACATAACTGCTATCAATTTATGAAGCAATTTTTCCCTCAAAGTAATTCTGTATTATAAATTTCTTAGAAAAATGTCTGTCATAATATATGGACATGTATTAATCTTTCAACCATTTATATACACATCCATATAATAATAATGTCCATGGCAGAATGGTCTTCGAACCACTTGCTCATCATCGCTGTGGGGTTGACTCGCTGTGACTTTGGACTCTTTCATGTGAGGAAGTTATCCAGCTTGCTTATGGAAACTTCAGTGGTTAGTGGTTCTACTCAGGTGTCCATTTGTTCTTGAAATAATGCATGGAAGGGCATCTGAGGTATCATCAGCAATAAAGCTAGAAGGTTGCCATATGACCTTTATTGTGTTGGTGCATCACAAACCCAACCAAAATAAAAATTTAATAATTGTTTCAGTTGCGAAGGTAAAGAAACCTATGCACACAAATATTGAGTCATAAAACCAGTCTGACAAATCTATATTTACTGATGTTTTATGAGTTTCTCAGTTGATAATGATACTTGCAGTAATATGACTAAGACTTGATGATTTGAATTTATATTGTAAAGAATTGCTAGCTAATATGGGAGGTAATGTTATAAGTCTTAAAATGAACTTGTTACAGAATCTCTCAAGACTAATGTCTTATAGTCAAGTAATCTTATTAAAATCAGATCAACATTTTCGCTCTGTTACTCTTAACTTACAAAGGGTAGTGGAGTGACAGGAAATGATTTTAATGGAATTGATAGTCAAGTAGAATAACATGTTTTGCAAATAGATTTATCATTTATTAATTAGTTTATGATTATGATGATGACCATGTTTGCACAACAGTATTTTGTTGATATATAGAATAATTCACAAAGCTATTACATGGATTCAACAAAATTGTAATTCAGGACCAGTCCTAGCTGTCTAACAATTACATAGTTAATGAAACTAACTATCTTTTTAAAGTGCACCTTACTTAAATCATGGTTACTAATTAAGCTGTTATTTTGTCCTAGAAAATGTTTAGTCTGTATGATTTAGCTCTTTGCAGCTTAACATATGTCAATAGTTTTACTTGATTATCATTTTAAAGAGCTTGATAATACTAGAATACTTAAAATATTATCATAAAAGAATAGTATAGGTGACTGATCTTTATACTGCTTGCACACTTATGCTATATACATATAGATAACTGACACCACTCAAACTTTTTTTTTTAAAAGTCAGCTCCAAAATTTAAGATGTTTAATGTTATTTTTACAGGTCATGTTACCATAGGTGGCAGTATATGTATGGAAATGTTGACAAAATCTGGCTGGACACCAACCAATGACATAGAGGTATAAATTTGTTTGTTTTTAGCTTGTCTGTTTCAAAGTAAAAAAAATTAAGTCATATGATTGTTGCATTGTCATTGAAAACTTTGAATACTTGACCAGTATTACAAGATGCAGTTGTGAGACAAGGTGCATTATCCTCATTCCTGGAAGCAATATATTTAGGAGTTATACCCCTTTTTAGCTCGACTTTTCTATGAAAAGGGGAGCTATCCTACTCGCCCCGGCGTCGGCGTCGGCGTTGGCGTCACACCTTGGTTAAGTTTTTCGTACCACCCCACTTTATTTCAGAAGTATTACAAGTATGGCTTTGAAACTTACCATACTTGTTCACCATCATAACCTCCATCTACAGACAAGAGTACATAACTCTGTCAAGGTTTTTGACAGAATTATGGCCCTTTTTTGACTTAGAAAGTGTATTGAGCTTGGTTAAGTTTTTTGTACCACCTCACTTTATTTCAAAACCATTGGAGGTATTGCTTTGAAACTGACCATACTTGTTTACCATCACGACCTTCATCAACAGACAAGAGGACATAACTCTGTCAAGGTTTTTTGACAGAATTATGCCCCTTTTTGACTTAGAAAATACATTGAATATGGGTAAAATCCACTTATTGCCTTAACCCTTTGAGATATTGCTTTGAAACTTTTAATGCTATTTCACATCATTACCCCCATCTGTACGCAAGAGAAGGTAACTCTGTCAAGGATTTGTTTTAAAAATTAAGGCCTTTTATCGACATTAGAATCTTGGTTAAGTTTTTAGTACCAGTCCACTTTTTTGACTGAACTGTTTTGAGATATTAATTTGAAAGTTGGAATACTTGTTTACAATCATGATTCCCAAACATGTCCAGGAGAAGGTAATTCTGTCAAAGATTTTTATTTGAATTATGGCCCTTAACTGTCAATGTTTTGTATTATAGGCAAGCACTAAAAAACTTAAAAAAATCTAAAAAAATTTCATTCCTATCCACTTGTTCACTTTACCATAAATTTTATGTCATATAAACATTGCTGTAATATTCAAGGGTATCAAACAACTAGTTATTTTTCTCTTTTTGTACTTGAAATTAAAATCAGTAGTATATGCATATTTCACATTTTATCTCGCCTATTTGATTGGTGGACAAGTTACACAATTCAGTAAAATAATTCTTCACTAAATATCTTAATGCTCATGGCCATTGTTCACTTTAAAAATACAGAGATTCTTGTATTGCCTTTTACTGCAAAAACTTTTTTTATTGGCAAGCAATAAAAAAGTCGAGCGCGCTGTCTTACGGACAGCTCTTGTTAACTTACTGATAGATGTAACTTAATTTGTTGTTCTTGGAAATTGTTATGTGATACATGTATCAAAGATATTATACTTGCTGGTGTGGTCAAACCACATCTGTAGGACAAGGGACATAACTTATTGATCAGCATTAAAATTTTCAAGATTTATGTTCTTTTTGAATTGGAAAATAATACAATTTTGTTTAAATACTAATGTCTTAAAATTCATAATCACAATATTGTTCATTGTACGGAGAAATAAATAAACTGCATAACAGGCAATTTATTTTAGTTTGTAGGTTTTAACATTTGAGCATTAACAAAAAGTATTCAGTGCTCTCATTTTTTTTATTGTCCGTTTAAAAAAAAATTTGCAAGCATTTCATACAATATTGTCTTTGTTACTTCTCTTGTATAAGATAACTACATTTTCAGTATTATGTAACAAGATGAAAACTAAAGATGTTATAGTACTAATTTTAACTGAAATCTACTAGTATTGTTTTGATACCTCCTAGACCTTTTAGCTCAAGATTTAAAAAAAACTAAATTTTTTCTTACATGTTTTACCATTAAATTTCATATTTGTATTTTTTATCACTATGAATATAAAGTAATTGAGTTGTATATGCAGTTATTCTAGTACCTGTAACTGGACCTCTGTGTTAAAGACATCTCAAGGGTTCTATTGCTACATGTATTTATTTAACAAATTATATCTTGTTAATAAACAAGCATAAATTCAAGAGAGTTATTGCACCTTTTTTCGTGCATTAATAATCTCTGCAGAAGCATAAGTATGCATTTAATGCTGGAGCCTGCATGTGCTCAAGTGCATGTTTTTATGCCCCCGCCATGTAATGGCCGGGGCATATAGTGTTACCCTGTTCCGTCCTTCCGTCATTCCGTCCTTCCGTCATTCCGTCCTTCCGTCATTCTGTCATTCCGTCATCATCAGTTTCCGTTCATTATCTCCCCAACGGTACAACACATTCAACTTAAATTTGACATATGGATATGTCATGAGAAAATACAGGTCAAGTTCGAATTTGGTCATGGTTCGATGATTTTTGGCAGAGTTATGCCCCTTTTACTTTGAAAATAATATGAAATTTTCAGTTTCCGTTCCCATTATCTCCCAAACGGTACAACACATTCAACTCAAATTTTGACATATGGATATGTCATGAGAAAATACAGGTCCAAAGTTCGAATTTGGTCATGGTTCGATGATTTTTGGCAGAGTTATGCCCCTTTTACTTTGAAAATAATATGAAATTTTCAGTTTCCGTTCA